CATAAGTTCCTATAAGTTTATTTATCTCCATTAGACTAGTATACATAGGAATGGAAATAGGGTTGGGTGTGGCAGGTTTTAACTTCGCTGCAACAGTGCTGCTTCACACCGTCCACTTCATCACACAAGCTCTTTCTATAGGGCAGGGTGTGACAGATTTTGACTTCCGCTGCAATAACACTGCACTACACTGTCCATTTTACCGCACAGGCTCTTTCTCCCTGCAAAATCCCCGTCCATACTGCCCCCTGCATGCTGCAACATTTTTCTTTTTATTGATCTTTCGCTCAAGCATAACTATTGAACAATAAAACAGATCAACAGAGTGCTTCACGCTTGTCAAAAGATGAAGGAATTGAAAGTAGATATCAAAACCAATAATTGAATTAAAAACCATTAATTTCTTATTGTGATCTAAGATGCAACTCTATGAAAGACGTAGCATCTGCACTTTATGTCTTCTTAATATCTGAAGAATACTAAGCTTCACATTAGCTTGTCATTTTCTCTATTTTGTGTGCCACTGGAGATTTATTTTTAAATAGAGAGTTGCTGGTTGAGACACTTCAAAAAGGGTTCAACCACGAATAATGAAGGCTAGCTGTGGGCAGTGGGTAGTATTGCCACTGCCACTGCCAGTGATGAACTTTGATTGCTGTTGTCATGAGAGATGAATGGATGTTTAGAGACGTCGAATCCCTACTTCAGCATTTGTCCACATTGCCACAACCACCCCTGCCCCACAATTTTCTTGAAAGGAATATTCTCTCGCGTGACCTGTCTTGACTGCCATCACTAATTATTGAAATGTAGATGAAGATTAGCTGCAGAATTATTTTTGTCTTTCTGTAGTCAATCAACGCCTTTTTTTCCTTCTATGCATAAATAAAAAATTCTGTTGTTCTTCCATTTCTTTCAGGTACAATCTGATGGCTAACCGAGTACTGCTGCTGTTGTCTATGGCTTCCAGAAATGACCCTAAATCGTCCTCCAAAATTCTGAGCGAAACTGCTGGTTAGTTAAGTTTGTCCTTTGATCTTCTTTGTTTTTGCTTCAGCGCATTCATTATAGAACACTTCTGCTGATATTCTTGTTCCCTCACGAGGCAAGAAATAACACTCTTGGTATATATATATATATATATATATATATTTTTTTTTTTTTTGATCGCTATTCTTCTCCTTCTGGTATTCTTGTTCCCCGAATGTAGTTTAAATTGCATAACTAGCACTCAAAATGGTTGCCATCTGCAAAAGAAACTTTCTTTTACCAAGGAAAAGGGTAAAGAAAAGCCTCAGTTGATCTTTGATAATTGTGATTCTTGTGATCTAAAGTAAGCAGTATTATCTTTTGTGTTTAAATTAATCTTCGGATTTTCAGAATTTCTCATCTTATGATTAATCTTGTCAGGTCACTTCTTACAGAGTTTAAAAAGCCAACTACCGCAGACGAGAATTTTGGCGATCTCAGCTCTAAATACTTTGCTGAAGGAATCACCTTACAAGCTCTCTGAAGACCGGCCCATTTGCTCTACTAACAGGCAGGATAAATCCAAGTCTTCTCTTGAAGAAGCTTTAAGTAACATATTCAAGGAAAAGGGTTTTTTTAGCGAAACCCTGAATAGTCTTTCTCATGTTCATATTATTGACACCGATAGTGCATCTTCTAAAGGAAATCATGGAACCTCTTCGTTTCAGAGTGTGGCCGACAAATCCATCACCCGTTTTTATTTTGAATTTTCTTCATCATGGCCTCGTACTCCCAATTGGATATCTTTGTTTGGAAATGACACTTTTTACTCTAGCTTTGCACGAATTTTTAAACGTCTAATCCAAGAATGTGGTGTTCCTGTTATACTGGCACTAAAAGATGCATTAGAGGACTACATAAATGCAAAGGAGAGGACAAAGCAGTGTGTTGCTGCTGAGGCAGTGGCAGGTGTGCTACATTCTGATGTTTACGGTATTTCAGAAGCATGGGATAGCTGGCTGATGGCACATCTTCAGACTATTATTCAAGCACCAACGGTTGAGTCCATACCGGAGTGGGCAGCTTGTATTCGTTATGCAGTTACTGGAAAAGGAAAACATGGAACAAAAGTTCCAGTTTTGAGACAAAAGGTCATGGACTGTTTAATGAACCCCTTGCCTGAAACTGTTAGTAATACTGTAGTTGCCAAGAGATACATGTTCCTTTCAGCTGCATTGATAGAAGTTTCCCCACCAAAAATGCCAGTTGCTGAACTAGAGCTTCACTATAAGCTTCTTGAAGAATTGCTTGGCAGTATGAGCCATTCATCTCCACAAGTGAGTATTCAACATTTCAATTACAGGCTTTGGATCACAACCTATTATTTTCTCTTTTCCTGTGTTATTTTTCTGGTTATCTTAAAGGTTGCTTTGGTACATAAGCCATTCAGTATTTGATTTAATTGCCAAAGAAAGCCTAAGGACTATCTGGCAATCAACTCAAGTTGCATACCTCTTTGATGAGTTGCTTTGCTGAATGCTGACAGTTCTTTTCCTTGCTCAACCATTTTTAGTTTTACAAGCTCAGCTGGTTCTTCTCAATTGATCTACAGGAAAGACAAGCTTGTTAGTCTCAGCTTTTCCAGATTAGTAGGTTCAACTCTGAGTATCACTGTTGGGTCCCTTCTTAGATTTCTTAAAATATTTTTCTTTTATAACCTTTTGGCACTTCTTATGGTTATGGCCCCACACCAGACCTTGATCCCATTGTTTTTGTACGTCGTCTCTTTGCACCTCGAGGCATCATGACCCCACGTACATTCTCTTTGAACTTTCTTCTTTCCAAGTTGTATATACATTGAGGCTATATCCCAGAAATAATCTCCGCTTTCATCTGTACTCCTTGCGTCCAAAATTGTTGACCTCTGTGAGTTTAAAAAAAAAAGGTGATATTTGACGTGTTCACAAGAAATGATTTTGGCTATACTTTCTGAATGTATAATGTTGTCATTTGTAAATGAGAACATTGTAACTTATAGTTCTTCTCGTCTAGTTTCTAACAAAAAGTTTATCTTCAAAATACAAATTTTAAGTCTGGAAATTGGTAAAATTGACCACCAAAATTAAATAAGATTAAAATTTGTGACTTTTTTTTTTTGG